TGAAATTAGAAATGTAGCATTATCGCATATCAGATTCTGATATGGGCTCTCTTCCTAAAGGTAATAATATGTGCGATCATCCCTAAAGGGAGGCCAGGATAAGAATGCATCTCACCTAAGTTTTTTATTTAGGTGAACACATACGGTGTTTTGTATAAATTTTCAGTGGCAGTTTAAAATTGCCACAATCCAACCTCAGCTTTTACGTCGTTAAGAACGAGCAACGACGTGTTGCGTATCATGACATAGCGAAAAACGATAGAGCGCATACCAGGGTAGCGTGAGGGCCGTCCAGAACTCAGAAACGGCTGGTCACAACGCTTTAGCAGTCAGTGAGAGCAGAAGTCATTGTACATATTAAGACCTGTTTGACTAGAACTCACCGATTAAAAACTCTGAACAGGACTTGAAGCTACCGTCCGTACTATAAAAAATAACCATGAGTTTCTGGAGTAGCTGTCACACTCTAGCTGACTAATTCTGCCAGTAAATATAATATTTCAATTTTTGATACCGGATATATTCGGTGTAAGATCACTTTTTCCGTGCTTCCAGTCGCCTAGAGGGACCATCTACACATGTCATAGCTCTATGGTATTGGACAGGTGAAGTGCATTCGATGCTAAAGAGCATCACTGTGTTGGGTAAATCTGGTGTCAGAAATTAAAATATTACGTCTGCACTAACCACAGGGAAGAAACACTGTTATCGTTAGGACGTTGGTCACCCGCTTTTGCTGTTATAACAGAATTTAAATGGTGAAACAGCCCTGATTTGTGATGTCTGCTAGATAGAAATTATTTCAAACTAATGTTGAACTGCACGCAATGCTGCAAAATAGTCATATTCCTGGCCCTAGCAGGTCTGTAAAAGACGTCTCCAAGTTTTATATTGCAGAATGCATATGGGACTGGTAGACAGTTCCCACAAAAAAAGTTTCGAACAGATTTTCAATCTCTTTTGGACCGCTTTATCAAACAACCACGAAACATGCCGTCTACATCATCGAATGGGCGATTTCTAACATGGTTTGGACAGTGAGGCAATAGCAACAGGGATCAACAGGAATCTTCATGTCTTATATGGGTTCAATGTAGAGGAAAAACACTGATTACAAACACTCATCAAATCATTAGGAGGCCACCGTCCGTATAAGTCCCCAAAGAAACCAAGATTAAATGTTATACGTCCTGCCTTTTGTCGTCCGAACAGATGATGGCGACTCATGAGGAGAATGACTGAAAAACTGTATGATGTTAGGAGTAGAACGAAAATACGAATTCACACCATCTGAACTGCAAAGACTTGAAAATCCAGCTATTTTTCAAACATGCACATATATGCCGTCAACTCGCTGAGAGGAGGATAACATTTCTTACTGTCATTTATAAAATCAAGCCATTCGACGGTCGCAGTTCTTCCGACAGCCTTCTCAAGCAGTTTCTCATCAGCATGTTTATTCACCATCCGGTAGTATCATCCACTATAAACTATACCATACTTCAGCTGATGAACAATCCAGAGGAGCTTAATTACGTTTCACACGCTTCCGTATGAACACATACTATGGTCCAAACTCTCAAGCTTGCGATCTCCGATCCTGTCCATACAATGGCGTATTCCCATACTTCATATCGCTACCAAAAATTATTTGTTATCTGTATAACGCGTCGGTTCACTCAAGTCGACACCATCATATCAATGGTCAAAAATCGTTCTAAATACTCAAAATTGTCCATCCATATATCACCATACCACCCTGAGGACCGTTCAGAGGCCGGCTAAAACGGCCACTCATATCGGTCTTCCAGGAGTTTAGGTGATCCCACAGGTTGCCGATGCGCTTCCATGAGAAATGGCATTTGCATTACTGCACTCTTCCTTCACTCATTTAATGGTGCGAAGTTAAACACCGTCACAGTGCTCTCTGGCAGTGCCCTACCTTTAGAAAGCAACGCACACAAACAGGTGGCCATTGCATAACAGAGTATCTGCTTCCACATCACACAGTGGTAGTCGTTTACTTAACACTGAAAGATGGAAGTCGAGCGAGTAACCGGAAAGAGATTCGAATTCACGATCTTACGACAGTGTGAATCTCATTCTCTACCGACTGAGCTACTCTGACCTTCCTTGAAGAAAGAATAACATATTTTCATTTCATCCTCTAACCTTCTAAGTAAATTACGCAAACTGCATACTAAGGAGAAAGGAGGAACAGTCAAACGACTTTGGACGAATGTCAGGAAATGCAGAGAAATAACACCGAGCTAAGCATCGCCAAGGAAATTCAACGTTACTAGTAATTATACTTGTGTATTCATGTCGTGGTTCAGAACGATGGAAAACATCTATTACTGTCATATAAACAGCGTATGCCTTCATTAAGTGTCCACCCCCCTCCACTCTAAGAAGAGCAAGTAGACTATCTCGGCAGAATATGACAAGAAGAATGATAGTTAATTCACACAATCATTGAAAATGACGTTTTCAATCACACTGATAACCTGAGGAATCTATCTTTAAGTACGAGTTAACATGCTCCGGAGTACAGATATTCGAGAAAGACTCGGCGAAATGCCGCTGCTTCAACAGATTGAAAAATCAGAGCTGCGATCGTTAGGGCATGTGCGGCGAACGCTTTCAGAAGAGGAAACAGCTACTACTTGCTGAAACGACTGGTGAAAGACCGACGGATGGGCAAGATTAACCAGGGACAAACGCACCGAAGGAGTCTGTTCTAGGCTTCGGTTGTCTTTTGCCGACGCTCAAACACTGACACAAAATCGGGAACGTTGGAAGCGGTCCAGCGTGTCTGCCAAATTGACTCGAAAGGACAAGCTGTTATCGATATTGATCAATTTACGAATGGGAACATGCCATTACCAAGATTCACCACCATAGCGGCAAGAACTCAACATTATATCGATAACATCAGTAAGCGCAACATCAGCTGTACCATGAACTGGTGGCCAAAACGAGCGACTACAAGGAAGAATTGAATCGTATGCACACGCATTAATCATAACCTCGAGCAGGCTTGGAAATTTATCATTCGGGATGTTTCTCCGGGAACCGGTTATTGCAACCCTGCCAGCATTACCGGTAATCCTGCAAAGACCGCAACTTTCGATGATTGAAGCTGATAACCCAAATGATAAATGTATAAATCTCGTTCAGTCGTGAACAACAGAATCAAGAGAATCAGAAAACTGACAGGTTCGAGACGCAGTCGCAAGAAAATTTGTCTGATGTAGCTTCTTACCGCCCAATTTTGATCATGAACATGAAACGCAGATCATCTACAATCGTCTACGGAATGATACTGATACAAATTTGCAGTCGGGTTCTAGACATCTTAAGAACTGCATTTTATTCACGCTAAATAATTTGAGTATCTCTGAATAAAAATGAGCAAGCAAGGTATAGTACAAGGAATAAAAAAGAACGCAAGGCGGCAGCAAACGAAGTGGCGAAAGTCAAAGCTGATTCCTGGGAAAGTTTGGTGAAGTCGAATTTCTAGACAGCAAATAAGGTATTTTGGCAAACTATCCACCGGTTCCGAAAAAAAGGGCAGTCTAAGAGTCTTAAAGGACAGGACTGGGAACGCTCTAATCGAGGAAAAGGATATTCTTCGACGATGGAGAGAGTACCCTTGGAACTCCTTAACCCCGAGCAACCACAGGAAGCCTAACCTGTAGGGCAGCAGGGAATGGATATTACAGTTTCTGTAGACAAAATTACGAAAGCTGTCAAAAGCTTGAAAAGTGGAAAGGCTCTGGAACTGATGAAATCAGCCCTGAAGTACTCAAAGTATTAGGCGAACAACACATGTGCTGGTTAACATGTGGCTGTCAAACTGCAACGGCTACGAGGAAGGCACCAACAGACTGGAGAACAAGCGTCGTAATACAGCTTCAAGGACGGAGACCACAGGGAGTGTTGAAATTATCGGGGCATTACCATATTGAGCCTCTGAGGTAAAGTCACCCAAAGGTGCTAGAAAGGAGGCGCCCCGGAATAAGTAACTCCGAGACACTAGAAGAGCAGTGCGGCTTGAGATCCGGTCGAAGCACCGCTGACTATATATTCGCCCCACGCCAGACTGCTGAGAAATGGTGGGAATTCGCCCATCTGGTGTACATGTACTTCACTGACCTGGAGAAAATCTATAACCTGCACAACTGTCTGTGGGCATGCAAGCGAACATACAGCATCGATGGCCAGTTACTACGGACCATCCGATCACTATACGCTGTTAACAGGTGCCACGCCATTGTAAATAACGTTAAATCGAAGCGTTTCAGTGTTGGCACTGGTCTCCGCCAAGGCTGCTTTCTGTCCCCTCTGGTATTTGTGTTGTACATGGATAGAAAAGTCAGGAGCAGCCAAGGCGATGAGTGTATCGATGCAGGAGATGTGAAGACGAGAAGGTTGCTGTGTGCATACAACTTTGTCCTGTTGACACCTAAAACTGATCCTCAGCGCTTTCTGGAAAGGTTCGCAGTCGAGTGCGACGTGGCCGGCATTCATCTGAACGTATCTAAAGTGAAAAGCCTAGTGCTTTTTCATTCTCCTGGCCGTTGCTCTTTTCAGATTAACGGAAAGGCAGTGGAGC